AAGCATCATTTGTTATCAGGTTTTGATATGATTAAAAGCATCTTACTTATCTCATCTTTATATATTGCTCCTTAATCAATCATTTGTTTAATACAACCAACCCCCTTAAAATTTTGATATAAATTTTTTTCATCATCTCCTTTACATGTTTTTGCTTTTATTGCTTCAAAGAATTGTAACAGAAAATACAAACAAATTGGCTTTTGACGAACCGTCTTTCGTTCAGGGAGATTTTGACCTTACAAAAGTAATATATGGGGTTACTTTCATCATACTTTCAGCATTACTTCTGGCACCAACTTCCAAGCTTTTAAGTACTCAACTGAAAGTTGCTACTATTTTGGGCATTTATCTATTTTCTTATCAGATGTTGATTCAATTTGTAAAAGTAATTATTCCGGCATTTTACTTAAATATAGCTGTAGTTTTGGCTGTTGCATTCTTGCTCTTTATGCACAAGGAGTTCGAAGGGATATTTGGAGGTATTAGCTTTGGATATCCAGCAGGATATACAATTATGCTTATGCTTTCTACCTCAAGTCGTATAAAGGTGTTTGCATATATTTCATTCTTTACACTTGTAGAATTTGTTCTATACAAGGTATCTTATCCTGTATACAAAATACTTCTGATGAGTATCGTTTCTGGGTTTTCACTTATTATCGGAGTTGATTGTATTGCCAGAATATTTCTCAAGCCAATTTATAATGACAGCAAGTTTGGACTCTTGCCAAAGATTATGATCCTACTCATCTATACAGCAACACTAGGCATTGTAATATTTTCAAATAAGGCAAAAGAACCTGAGAAGTTGGAGAGCAAGGAGATTAAGGAAGAGCTTAAGGAAGAAATCAAAGAAGAGCTTGAAAAAGTATAATTAAGAATCTATCGAAAAATTACTTAGAATTTCCAACATTTATAGAAGAATAAATATCATTTGAACACTCCTTTATAGAGATTATTCTATAGTTTTGTTTTTTATTTTTATAAAAGAAGATTTAACATTTCATTTCTCCAGAATTTATTTCCACAATAGAAAGCCAATTATTCTTGTTACTCTTATTTCCAAAAAAAGAATGACAAATTATATTTTTTTGAACTGCCCTTTTTAAATGGAGCCATTTTTCCACAACGGCTCTTCCATCGATAAACTTCTGAAATCACATAGATCTTTAAACCATTTGGCCGATTCTAGGGAATTCTTTCTCTCAATTGTAAAATCATCCTTATTAAGATCCAAGTTCCAGGTGAATGATGGAATAAAATATGGATTGGATTTTCTAGTATACACTGATGATGTGGAGAAAGTACATTCAAAGTATGGAATATATGTTCTGCTGACAGATATGGACTACAAGCAGTTAATAGCACTACAGAGAATTTGCAATAGTAATAATAAAATATTGATTATTGCGATCATTAATGAGAAATTTGGAAGTAAACCACAGAACGAAAGCCAGTATAATAATCATAGCGATAATTGTAATGTTTTATGCTCGATATGCAAATCGAACAAACTTTTAGATATAAATTATTGCAATGGTGAACCTTTAGATTCACATTGTTCTAGAAACTATGAAGTTTTATTTATACAGGTAGATAGACTATTACAGAGTAGTATCTTATAAAATTTGATAAACAGGAAGATATCTTCTTCAAAGCTCAACAAAGAACCTCATAAGTCGTAAAAATACCTTTCCAATCAATTCTCTCTTTATTCCTAATTATATTTTCTAATTTTTGATACAAGTTGTATGTCCGAAGGATACAATGTAACCCTCTTCGCGTGTCTAGAAGCCATATAAGATAACTCCAATATTGAAACCAAATGGTGCTCCAATGCTTCATGCAAAACATCAAAAGACGTCTCTGTAAACCTAAAGGGAGTTGAATCAAGATTCCTTATGATTCCACGTACAATCCTTATCAATCCAGTTCTGTTAATCATAAAAGTTAAAGTATTTTGATAAAATTTAATTTCTTTCAAAACTGTTGAGTTATGCCTTGTTTTTGTAGAAATTGGAATCTGACTAATTGTGGGTTTTTTTACTCTCATCTTCCCAGAACTAGACGAGGTTGACGAAATTGACTTCTTGGATTTTGGTCTGGTTTTTCCAAATGACAGACTATTTATGGTTTCTTTTTTTTCTTTCCTCTTTTTTTTTTGAAATATTCCATCTGAAAATTTACTTTGATCAGTTTTATAGCCTTTCTTTGATTGAATTTCTTCTTCAGAAAATGATTCTGTCTCTGTAGAATCATGAGTACTTTCAGAAGTACCTTTAAAAACCTTGCCAGTCTTTGTCTTTTCAAGTTTAGCCTTTTTATTTTCCAATTCATTGATCCTCGATGATGATTCACTTTTACTCCCTTCTAAATCCTCTTGGCTTTCAACAACTTTGGCTAACTTTCTCGCGGTATGTTGTTTAATTCGTTTTAGTTCCTTCTCCAAAGTATTTTTTCCCGATTTCGTTGATGTACTGGCACTCTTTCTAGCGGAATGCGTAGATCTACTCATTTTAAGGGAGCTTTTACAAGAATGGCCAAAAGGAAAAATGGAGGGAAATACTGTAACATTTGAAAAGAAAAATGTAGTATTACAAAATTATTTTAACTGTTTTTGTTGTTTGATTCATAACTTTTCAAAAGACGGATAAAAAATAAAGAGTGAGTTATATGCTGAAAAATAGCTAATTCATTATTAAAAGTGACAACATATAACTACAATTAAAATTAACAATATAGCTTATACAATACGCTTCAACAGCTTAAAATCTTCAAGACGTTTGAGAGATTGATTCCACTTCTTTATCGGATACTCTGTTTCTCCAGGGATAAGATGTGTTTAGTTTATTGTCATGTGCTTTGAATAAAATGGTTTTTATTTTTTATTCTAGTTTTCATCTTCAATTTTGACAGCATAATGATATTCTTCATTGAATACAATCTTAGGGTATAAGCCTTTATATACATTGGAGAAAATAAACTCTGGTCGGTCCTCAAATTTGAGGTTAATATTGATAACTTTACACATATAAATAATAGAGTAATTGGAATAACATCTACAAACAATCAGGATGAGACTTTAACTATTCTCCCTTCACAGTAAGCACAAGTCATAATTTAGTTTACCACTATTTTGGGCCCTTATTTCCATGGACAGCATTTCTAAATTTGATGAAGATACATTTATAAAAACCGCAAGAGCTTACTTAAAAACTATTGATGTGAAAAAGGTAGACTTTACTGGAATGGAGCTTCTAAGATCTGAAAAAGAAATTAAAAAATGCATTGAAATTCAAGGAATAAAAAAAGAGAAGACTAATGAACTAGAAGATAGGGAAAACAGGCCAAAAATTGAAGGAAGAAGATATTCTAAAAAGAAAGGGGTTAAAAGCTTGAAAAGAGATGATATTGGCTTAAAAGAAGTGAAAAGTAGGTTGATTGAAAAGACAAGGAATATTGATGTACAGAAGAGCAAGGCAATCGAAAAGAGGAAGAAAAACCCACGAAAATAATTAAATACATATAATTAAGTTGGCCAATTTATATTTATCGTTTTGTAGTTTGAAGTTAAGATTTTTATATTGAGTATTTGGAATTTTATTTTCATTACAAGTTTACTAATCAATAAATTGATTTGATTTGTCTGAAATAGCACAGATGATGTGTTACAATCTGTTTTATATCAAAATTATTAGAACTTTTGATATTTGCATCCAACTATTTTGTAAAATATGTTAAAGTACTCATCATTCATGGTTCTATAAAATCTTTACTGCTTTCTTGAATTAACACCTTTATGTCTTCGATACAAATTAAAAAATTTAAAATTAGTTTCAGTCAAAGTGATCTTAAAAAGGAGAAGAAAAAAAATAATATGTCTTTTCAAACCAGTCTCCTTTAAATGATTATAGAAAATTTACTTCTATGGGTTGAGATGAAGCCATTGAGTATGCAGAAACTTCAAAGATATTTGGATCACTATTTGATGACATTCTGCAAGGAAGAATCAACCATATTTCATACAAAACGAGTACTCATTCAAGCAAGTATAAAATATTCAACAATTTTAACTTCTTTAAAGCTATACAAACGATATTTGACTTTGATTGATGGATTCTTATTTTCATTTGGAACAACTTCATTGAGATATCCACGTGATGGAATAATTGTTACAGAAATAAAAACTTCAAAGCTAGAACATCAGAAAGATTCGGCATCATTTATAAACGAACCGATACCATCCCATGAAACGGATAATTTTATCAGAATGAATTCCATAAAGGATCTCTCAACTTTTACAAATAATAATGTTTCCAGATTCCAAACTTTTAGTAAAAGTACAGTAAAAGATTATAATTTTGAACAGACAGACAGGAAACAAAATATAACTAAAATGCATGATATTTACGATAATATTAAGAGTTTTAATGATGAGCAAGAATTACAGGAAAGGAAAATGGTTTACAGAACTGTAAATAATGAATATTTAATTTTGACATGCTGTTTAATAATTGCATGTAAATACCACGAAGATATAGCATATACAAATGATAGTTGGGAACAACTTACGTTCTTAAACAATAGGGAGTTGACGTTTGGCGAGCAATTGATTTTGAATACCCTAAATCATAATGTAAGTTTTGAAGGTGAAACTGAGGTAGAGGATGAAATAAGGCAAATGATAATCTCCAAAGAGAGAGACGAATGCAGGGAGACAACAAAAAAAGTCAAAATGAGATTTAAACGAATTTTTTGTTTCTAGGACACATAATAAGCGAAAATGTTTGAAATAATAGATTTATAACTGATTTTGGTAATAAAAGAAATTATAACAAAATTGCTTTTTCCAATTATTTTAAACAATCCAATTTAAAAGCATACCGATATACTTTTAGACCAAGTAATTGATGACTTGCAATATGCTTATGCAGTTTGTCCTGTAAAAAATGAAATTGTTTCACACTAAAAGCTATTTAAATATTATTTTTATTAAGCATCAAGTATGATCACCACTAATGGGATGAATATAGGATTTTTAACATATACTTTTAATTCTTTTGTAATTATATAGAACTGTCGATTGAATAAACTTTATGAAATATTACTAATTATAAAAATGCTCTTACATGACCCATCTTTTATGAAAAGCATTTCACAGAGGGATATTCACTTTAACTTTGAAAAGTTTATAAAGCAAGATCTTAAATTGAGTGAATCAGACCCAATTTATTGTCCTTTCTATCAAAAATCCCAGTGTAAGGGGAATTGCAATCTGATTCATATCAAATTAGCCACGGCCGTTGTCTGTAAGCATTGGTTGCGCGGCCTCTGTAAGAAGAACGAAAAATGTGATTTTTTACATGAGTACAATTTGAAAAAGATGCCAGAATGCTTCTTTTTTAATGTGTATGGAGTCTGCAACAACAATGATTGTCTATTTCTCCATGTCAAACCAGACTCTGCCGCTAGAGAATGTATATGGTATAAACGAGGATTTTGCAAGAATGGCTCAGGCTGTAAAAATAAGCATATTAGAAAGAACTTGTGTTGGGATTATTTTGGAGGATTCTGCATTAATGGAAGTGATTGTAAATTTGGGCATCCAAAATTTGAATTGAAATTTAACGAAATTGACGAAGAAGATGTGATTAAAAAGCCAAAAGCAAGATTGTAAAAGTACAAATACACTTAGGATGACAAAGTTACCAATAATATTAAATGACTTCTTGTAAATACTTTTTATGTAAACCCAACTGTATGAAAGATAATTATGAGTTGGCCCATGGATTATTATAAGGCTTGTATTTAGTTATTAATGATTCGATATTTATAATTTCTCTAGTTAGCTAGACCGTAGTGGATCATTGGAAATATAAAACTTTCTTAACTTACGTGCTAAATATTTAGACCGCAAATCAATTATAATTAATTTTAATCAACTCAATTTTCTAAAAATTTTCAAAAACTTCCCCAAAATGAATGAATCTGCTAAAACTTTTTTATTCACTTCTGAATCAGTTGGTGAAGGACATCCAGATAAAGTATGTGATAGAATTAGCGATGCAATTTTGGATGCTCATTTGTCTCAAGATCCATCTGCTAAAGTAGCCGTGGAGACTGTGGCGAGCATCGGTATGATTTTATTGTGTGGGGAAGTCGCTTCCAAGGCAGCAGTAAACTATCAAAATATCGTACGAAGAGTCCTGAAGGATGTTGGATATGATTGTTGTCAGAAGGGAATGGACTATAAAACAGTAAATGTGATGGTTTGCTTAAAGGAACAGAGTTCAGACATCTCCCAGGCTGTGATCAGCAAAACTACTCTTGAGACTGGTGCAGGAGATCAGGGTATAATGTTTGGATATGCAACTGACGAAAATAAGGAAGGTATTCCAGCAAGTTTGCTCTGGGCTCACAAATTAGTAAGAAGATTAAGTTTTTTAAGAAAAACAGCAGTATTTCTGAGACCAGATTGTAAATCACAGGTTACAGTAGAATATAAGGAGGAAAATGGGGTTCTAACACCGTTGAGAATTCACACTATTGTTATTTCAACCCAGCACTCTGAAGATATTTCGACAGAAGATTTGCGAACATATTTAATGAACAACTTAATTAAGCCTATAATTCCCAGCGATCTTCTTAGAAATACTATTTACTATATCCAACCCAGTGGAAGGTTTGTTTTAGGTGGACCTGCAGCAGATGCAGGATTAACTGGCCGAAAAATTATAGTCGATTCATATGGTGGATTTGGTTGTAACGGTGGGGGATGCTTTAGTGGTAAGGACTGGTCAAAAGTAGATAGAAGTGGGGCTTATGCTGCACGATGGATTGCAAAATCACTTGTTCATGCTAAAGTTTGTAGAAGAGTCTTGGTTCAAATATCATATGCCATAGGTATCTCTAAACCACTCTCTATCTTTGTAGACACATATGGAACTAGTAAGTTTGATGATTCACAAATTATTGATATCATTGAAAAAAATTTTGACCTGAGACCTGGGGCTATAGTTTCAGAACTGGGATTGGATAAACCCATTTTCGAGCCAACTGCTGTATTTGGACATTTCGGAAGAGAAGAATTCTCATGGGAACAACCAAAATCCTTAATTTTTGAGAATTAAATTTATTATGTTCCTTCTCAAAATTTTTATTGGATTTGCATTTTTATATGCTTAATTAAGTACATTATAACACGAATCTGGTATGTTATTAATTCTTTTTTCTATATTTCATCTTCCCATAGTAAACTGTGTAATTAAGCAGACCACATTTTAACATATATCAAAACTTATATATTTCCACACCTACAAATGCTATATTAAATGAATCACTAGTTGCCAAAACATAGTTTATTATCATGGTGAAATGAAAAAATAATAGTGGGTTGTTATATACAATAAGGCCATCCTACATCTAACTATTCATTTTGTGGTTTATTGTTCTTGATGGATTCCCAATCTGTTGATAAAACTGTTCCATTACTCTCTCGTAAACTCTTATTCATGGCTTTTCTGATGCTTTCATCCCCTTGTGAGTAAATATTTTGTAAAAGACCGAATAAATCATCTGGATTTTGTGAATCATCATGATCGCTTGCACAAGAGTTTTTGATATTAGAATATGTAGCAGATTTTTCAATAGTTTCACCAGAACCAGCCTTTTTATACAACTCATTGATGTTACCCCACTTCCCTTTGACTTTCTTAACAAGTTCAACTTGGATTTTATACTTATCACTTGTCATTTTGCCAAATTCAACCTCTCCAGGAAGATTTATAACAAATTCACTACTCTCCTTCTCAAGACACTTTTTTCGTTCACATTCATTAACAAGAGTAACCAATACTTGCTCTTTCTCAACTTTTACTTTATACACTCTTTCTTCCTTCGGTTTCTTATAGATTGTTACTGTTAAGTTATTGATATGGTCTGAAAATTCATAATACATAAAAAGGGATGGGAAAACACAAGGATGTTTATACACTTACTTACTAGATTAGAGTTCAATGTGAACATCCATATAGTTAATATACTGGTTAAAACAATATCTCTTCGGTTGTTGATTTGTATATTTTCAATCCATGTACATGTGAATCCTTACCCTCAGAATGATTCGAAAGAATTATAACATGAATGCATAGAACCAACTCATCGACTATCATTTCAACCTCACCTACTGGCTCACTTAGAGTCATCTCTTTTGAAGTAGAATTACAGACAATACGCAGTCGCTGTGGAGTGTACGAGTCATCTCTATCAAAATCTAAATACAACCTTATTGAATACACATATGTTCTGTATAAAAACTCAACTTTAATTGCATGGGGCAAGGGACCATCTGTTGGCCAGTATTCCGAATGGGATGGGGAAAGAAGTTGTGACAATCCATAGCCTCTCTTTGATGAGGACAATGATACATTCATAATGAAGGGTAAATATGTACAAGTTTTATAAAAATTCTTTCCAAACTATTCTCGTATTGATGAATGTTTTCTTCTATATTAAAGAGTATTCCCTTAATAGTCATCAATTAGAACAAAATGAATGAGTAGTAAAATTCTTATCAGATTATATAAATTAGAATATTTAAACATCCTCTGTGTATATTTATGGAATACATATGGTTGCAATATCTTAGTTTCTATCATAATCACCAGTAATTAAGTGAATAAAATCAACTAGCTATAAGTGTCTTAAATCATCTTGATTTTTCTGCTTTTCATAAGTTTATGCTTTTGATCTTCCTAATATTTATTTATCACATTATCAAATTAGTATTTCAGATGGTAACTTGAATAGTCGAACTATAGAAAAAAATCTTCAATGGGAAGTATATAATACCAAAAGACTATAAATTAAAATTTTATGATTATTTTCATAATACAACAAATGCATATATATTTCACATCTAAGAGTAATCAATGTGACTATATTAGTATAATTTAAGAGAAAAGGAAGTATATCTATCAACTAAAAATACAATAATTAGTTGAGGCTGTAAATATATTATACTATTTACTATAAATTATATTTCATTAATCGATATTCTGATGGATCAAAATTAAAAATACAAACAGAAATATTATGAAATAATGTTTAATCAGATGATTATTATTTCTTCATGAAAGAATACTGAATATTATTATGATTTCTATTCTAGTATATATTATAGTGAATATAATGAATTACAGTAAGGGAATTGGGAATATAGGTTATGAAATTTTAAAACAAAATATCAAGTTATATCAATGAAGAAAATGTATTTCTTGGTAATTGAATTGTAAAGAGTCAATTCAACTCACATCCTATCGAAAATCTTTTAATTAAAAAATTAGTAGTAATAATTTATTATTAAATCAATAATATTACAAGCCACTAGAATGGTAAGAATGAAAGCTACGAAAATACGAGGAATTATAATATGTCTGAAGAATGATAGAGAAACACAAGCACTAGTATACATGCCCATCCCATTGCAAGAGTTAAAGCTAAATCATAAACAATTTTGAGAGGGATGAAGTAAGGGTAGTAACGGATAATTACAAATATAATTAAAAAAACAATAATCGTGAAAAATATCCAATGATATAGTGTCAATTCCTTTAAATAGTTGGGTAGTATCTCTGAGATAAGTGAAGGGGGATTATAGAAATCCGGGTCAGTATTAATTAGTTTGTTTCTTAAGATTGTATCTTTACGAGAATCTCCATCAAGTATTGGAATGGCTAGAAAAGAACTACCATCTTCACAAACTGGATGGCATTTAGGTAGAATTATTCCTTTTTCATTGAAAACATTTGCACAATGAATTGAATCTTCATTTAAGCTTGGAACACTTATATAAATCGAATCATCATCGGGTGGTTTCATTGTCCTTTCCAGGAACTCTGAATTTGACATTGACATTGACATTGGAACAATTACTAGTGAAAAATCATCTTTTGCCCTGATTTGTGGCGTAGATCCATCTTCACAAATGGGCTCATAGCCAGGCCGAATTCCTCCACTTTGAACATAAGCGTTATTGGTATTATCACCAGGTATTGGAACAATCTTTGGCACTGTCCAACCTTCACAAGTTGGTTTGCATCCAGGTGAAATTATTCTTTCTTCATTGAAATCATATGCACAATGAATTGAATTATACTCATTCTCTGCTAGGATTTTCGCTACAAATCCCTTTGGACAAACGGGCATGTGACCAGGTGGAAGTCCGTCACTTTCTTTAAAATAATTGTCTGTATTACTGACAGGCATTGTTGTATGATTAAAAGAAGATACATCCATAGTTGAATTATTATTTTCTGCAAAACAAAAATTACATATAGTAATCAGATATTTTGCTAGCATATCCACGGGGTTGATTTTTCTTTTAAAAAATTGAAATTACAAATTTGGATATTAATTTTTCATCGGAAAATTGAGATATAGAAAATTTTCATCAAAGTATAAAATACTAGAATATTTAGTAATATTTCTCTTAATTTTCAAGTTTCTGAATATCAATATCTTTAAAGGGAAAATCAATTTTTTAAAAGAAAAATCATTTGTAAGTTTTGAAAAGATATTTACAATCATTAATAACATATGGTGAAATCACTATTCTTGAATCAATATAACCATAGTAATAAAGACAGATTATTTATATTATATAAAATTATTTCGATAAAACAAATCATACAGTTATTTAACTAGATGAGTACAACTATTTAAGTTTCTAGTCTCATTGTATTATAGATGTATATAGCTTATGTGAAATATATTTGGAAATAGTAAAATATATCCCAAAAGAATAATTGTTCCGAAAAATATTTTGAACCAAAGAATTATTAATACTTATGGTCAGTGAGTATGGAAAGATACTGTATAATTTAATTGAATAAATTATTCTCATTGGTAATTAGAGTAAGGATGGATAGTTGCTTTTTATTAATAGGAATAAATAATAGAATATCTGCCAAATCAAAAATATTAATTGACAAATACTAATATATCATATTTCAGAAACCCATCAATTCATTTCCTAATTTATAAATACCTTTAAATATATGTAATATAAAATGATAAATTAAGTATCACCCTTATTTTTAATTAATTTTGGATCGAATCAACAGTATGGAAGAAAAGTAGTAATGTACCAATTGATACAGTAAAAGATGTCATTTCATCAATATTTAAAGGAGAAATGAAATATAATTAATTAATATTTTAATTAATCACAAATGAAGTATAAATATGAGAAATTAACACTCATACCCATGAGATCCAATTATCAACTATTATACAGCTTGTTGTTTATGAATCAAATACTTTCTGAGATATCAATAGATCTGATATCTGAGATGTTTGATATAACAGAATATAAAAATGTTGAAAACACAATAGTGAATCCAATATTTGGATATATTTATTTGATAGGATGTCTTCCCAATTTACGAAGGTATAATCCAGAAATTGAATTTACATATAAGGATGAGAAAAGAAATTTTGGAAAAGATATAAGTGATGATGCTCTTACAAGTCTTATAATAGATCTATTTCCTTCAATAGATGGGATATTATCTCCACTTCGAAAAATAGAAAGTAATTTTGCATACCATTATTTCTTCAAAACTAATGACAGGAGATATGAAGGTATAGAAATAATGGTAGATTTATTTGTTAAAATTTTGACAGAAGATAAAACTCCAATCAAACACTTACCTAAAAAACAACACGAAATCAATCCTACTATTAATCGAATAATGGACAATTCCACAAAGGAATCGAATTCTAAATTGTTCAAAAACAAAGATCTTAAGCTTCTCTTGATTCATGGATTTATGATCAAAGTACTAGATTCCAAAGATGAACTAGAGTTCTATTTCAAGACAATATTAGAGAAAATTAAAAATGAAATACCATCTGGGTATAGATATAGTATGGGTGATAATTTCACAATGACATTTGGTGAATTTTATGAATGTTTTAACATATTTCCATATTCCAGAGTGAATACACCAGTTTCGAATGCTTCTGTTCCAATATACATAAGAAGTGATGATATTTTCGATACAAAACAGAAATTTTCAGATTGTGTTGAAATGGTACTCCTCCATCTTTGTAATTGTCTGTTCTGGAATATAGAAACAAAACGTTATTCACTAGAACATTTAGAATTAAATGAAGATTCACCATTGATACAATTCTACACAAAAGTTAAATATGAACAATTTACAATCACAAATGACATCAGAAAAGAATGGTCTCGAGTAGTACAAGATCTAAAAGATTTTACATTTACTAACGAAGATAAATATTTGATAAATAGGATTGTATACGGAAAAGCAGCGAGAAACGAAGTAAAATCAGGGATGATTAATTTGATGAATGTATTCGTAACAATTGCAGTACCTTCAATGAAGCTAGAGAAGTTTTGGGGAGATATTAATATGACTAAAGAAAGTATAAGTGAGAAGTTTGAGATATTGATTGATAAGTTGAGGCATCCTAATTGTAAAGTTGAATGTGAATTCAAATCAATTGAAGAATTTACAAAGGGAGGTAGAACAGATATCGGTGGGAATATAATATTTACTTTTGGAAATAGAATAAATTCAAGTGAAACACAACAAATGGAATTAATAATTACTAGTAGACATTCTGCAATGCATTTTATCTCAGATAGAATTTAAGAAGATAAATTATCACATTTTGTTAATACACTTATTTTTAGTGGATATAAGGATACAATACCATTTCCTATTTCACTGACCATGAAATATTTAATGCTCTGTGAAGAAAGTTTTGACTTTACCATATACCCAATGACTTTTTCACAAATGTATATAATAGAATGATCAACAACAATGAAGACAAAATAGAAGTACTTACATACTTATTTGAACAGAAGGATGACAAAGAATTTGGAAATTACAAAACAAATATTAGATACAGTAGAATTAACAGATGCAGCCACACAAAAGATGTTCTCACCATATATAGGATATAATGAATTTAATGTGTTTATAGAAGCATGCCAATTAAAATGCAACAGCTTGAAAGAGTATTGGGGAAAAGAAGTATCCAAACTTAATTTAATTGACCTAACAGAGTTATATAATTATAGTGATATATACAATGAAATATTAAAATGTATGCCATATGATAATTTGGAAATATTGAAGATTGGGATTCTGAATTATGAAGAGGTATCGTTTGTAGTAAAATTGCTTGAAAAATCTACAAAGTTAAACTATTTGATATTAGGTTTATATAAGGATTTATATAAGGGTTTGAACGAGAAATGCCAAAACCTTATTGAAAATCTAATGGATCATATTAAAACTTTGAAGAAGCTTAAATTATGGGTTGATTTCCCTACTGCAAGTTGTTGGATTTTACCACTCTCTCAAGCATTGAATAATTGTCAAGATCTTGAGTATCTTGATATTAGCAACAATAATATTGGAAATAAGCATGATACTTCATCTTATTTTCCACAATTATTTGAAGCCATAGGGAAAATGAAATCACTGACAAAACTAAACATATGTATTTTATAGAAACAATCTTGTATAGTATAAATAATCTGTCTCCATTATATTGATTCAAGAATAGTGATTTCACCATATGCTGTTAATTGAAAAATTAATTTGCTATATAAGATATTTATAATTAAATAAAAATATCATCAGTAACAACTAATGATTGTAAATATCTTTTCAAAATTTATAAATGATCTTTCAATTCATTGATTTTCCTTTTAAGATATTGATGTTCAGAAACTTGAATAATTAAGAGAAAGACTGCTCAATATTGTAGTATTTATACTTTGATGAAAATTCCCTATACCTCAATTTTCTTATGAAAAATTAATATCTAAATTTGTGATTTTAATTTTTTAAAAGAAAAACCAGCCCCAATGAATATGCTAGCAAAGTATCTGATTGCTGTATGTAATTTTTGCAGTGCGGAAAATGATAATTCGGCTGTGGATGTATCTTCTTTTAATCATGAAACAATACCTGTCAATGATGTTATAGATAATACTGACAATTATTTTAGAAAAGGTAGCGTACCTCCACCTGACCACATGCCCATTTGTCCAAATAGGATTAGTGCAAGTGTTTTCAATGACGAAAAAAGAATTCCATTTGAATCCAAACCAGTTTGTAGAGGTGGGATAATGCCAAAGATTGTTCCAATACCTGATGGAGATTCTTATGAAGACAAAATCTTAAGCAGCCAACAAATTCCCACTACTACTTCATATTCCCATGATGATCATCCATCATCTATCTGGGAGATAAAGGAATTGACACTATATCATTGGATAGCTGTCACGATTATTGTTCTTTTAATTCTATTTTTAATTATCCGTTACCTTTCCTTTCGCTCCATTTTCGTCGAAATTGTTTGTGGCTTATCCCCTTTTCTTATAACTCTAACAATACTTTATTATATTGTTGATTTACTATGAATAGTTTATTATAGTATTGATTTAACAATAAATTGTTACTAATTTTTTAATTAAAAGATTTTCAATAAGATGTGAGTTGAATTAAATTTTTAAGAATTAATTACCAAGAAATACATCTTCCTCATCGATACAACTTGAAAATTATTATAACCTATATTCCTAGTTCTCCTTATAGTAATTTTGTTACGTTCACATAATAAGTAGAATAGAAATCATAATAATATTCAATACCCTTTCATGAAGAGGTAATAATCATCTGATTAAATATTATTCCATAATATTTCTGCTCATAATAGTTAGTTATCAACTTTTATTTATATATTTTGTTAAATCAAAATATTAATGGAATATATTCCATATTAATCAAGGACTTTGGAATTGATTCTATCAATCTATAATTAAATACACTATTCTAACTTATTTATGTTATTTAATAACCAATTTTTATCTATTTTTTGAATTTTACTGACAAATTTATCATTACATGTTATACTTGAAGCTTTATAGAATTGATTTTTATCTGAACATCCACTGATACTATGATTTAACAATAATATATAGATAAATGCATATATAATATGACTCTAATATCAAGTATCTGTCATAAAGAAGTCGTTCTCCATAGATTATAATGATATATTCACCATAATTGTAAGAAAGTGTTTCATTAATTCAAGAATATTTAAAATCCATTATACAAATCCAAAATATTTTAAGTACATCCTTTTCATGAAAGACACAAGTACCATTAATCCAAATAATGAAAATCACAATCCAATAAACAGTTTACTTGGAAACAATGTGGAAACACACAGCATAGTTATTGACAAATCTGACAATAAGATGCTGAACTTAGCAGTCAAAAGTGAAATGGAAGTGAATATAGAACAAACTATAAAATTAACTGATACAAAAGAAGAACTAGACATTTTATCCCAACCAATTGCAGAATCAATGGAAAGTGAAGACTGTCTCAACAACCAAACTGAAGTATTAGATATTTTGTCCCAACCGCCATCAATAGATGATGTTGATGACACAAATAAAGAAATTGTTAGTTGTCCTTCTATTCTAAAGAATACTACAGTATGTGTGGATACTAATAAAGATGAATCTATTGATCCATTGAGAACATTCACAAATACTAAGCTGCCAGATGACATGATGATTTCAATCAATCAAACTCTACTCACTAGTTTGACATTTGAAGGTAAAAACACCAGTCTGCAGGATATCTTTATTGGTTACAGACAAATTATTAACGAATTAGAAACTGCTTACAATAAATAATTAAACTTTATGGAAACTACTTACTACAATAAATAAATTAAACTCAGTTGAACCTATTAGAACACAACACAAAGTCAAAATAGGGCATTTCTTAAATAGAATTTATTCCAACCTTTGTTAGAAAATCATTGAAATAAATCTCTTCAATAGATCCAACTATTGATTTTTGAGAAATCCTTAACTTCTTATCAAATTGTATATCTTCAAGTATACTAGCTGGATCATTAACAAATGCTGAAACTGCAACCATATTTGGTAAATATGAATATACAACTCCAGGGACATTCTCTGAGGAAAGAATACCTCCAATCGTGGTCACCACTTTTAGAATTTCTTTTTTATCTACTGAACAACTAAACTTAGCTTCAAACTTTATAGGCTGTATCTTTGTGTTGGACATCGATACCTTGTTCTCAACTTGATGGGAAAAAAGAATGGTTCTTAGATTTTCAATCATTTCTTGTGTTTCTGATCCTATAAGTTTTGTTCTTTTCTTAATTAGTACTTTATTCCCTGATTCTATTCTTTTTCGATCAAACATAGATATTGGACAATCAATTGTCACCACCTCTCCTTCCTCTAATTCCCTCAGAAGTCTCTTCCCATTATCTTCACATTCTTTTGCCTTCTCATGACTTACTATTGTTATTCTTCTCACTCCTGCACTGACTGCTGTTTCCATCTGTATTTTAATCAATTTTATTTCTGAGGTGTTGCTTACATGTGTCCCTCCACAAAGATCTTTAATTACAACTGATCCATTAGACATCTTAATAACTCTTACAAGTTCTGGATAGTCTACATTCTTCATATGTGTAATTGATGAATCTAGTTCATCCTTTTTAACATTCAAAACTTCAACTGATCCATTCGATCTTACAAAATCATTCATTTTCGTTTCCAACTGCATAAGCACCTCATCTGAAAGCTTGTTAGATGTGAAGTCATATGTTGTTTTAAATTCATCCAAGTATGATCCCCTCTGCTCTGCATCTGGAACAAAATCCCTTATGAAATGTCCCAGGAGATGGCCAGCTGAGTGATTGGCCCTGATCTTTTCTCTTCTAGTCTCATCAAACTCCAAAGTACATTCTGAAGATGTCTTTCCACTTAGATATCCTGCATGTAACACATGTCCACGAACTTTTTTACAATCAATAACATCAAAATACCCTACTTTCTTCCCATTCGATAAAAATGTAATCAAGCCCTTGTCTCCCACCTGACCTCCTGATTCTGAGTAAAAGCATGTCCTGTCAAAAATTAAATATCCCTTCTTATTCTCTTCCAGACTATCAACAAGCTCATTATTCAACACAATCCCCTGCAAGTGTGCACTAATTCCATTCCCATCATATTTATAGCTGTCATCTGTTTTCTCAAAGTTGAAATTAATGGTAATTGGTGACTCCTTCCTGGTTCTGCTCTTTTCTTTGGCCTCTTCAACCAATTTGTCAAAGTTGTCCATTGAAACTTCAATATTCTTTTCCTCTGCCATTAGGTTTGTCAAATCCTTTGGGAATCCATAGGTGTCATATAATAAAAAAACATCTTCTGAATCTAGTTTTTTCTTAGCTTCTACAATCTTGCTAAATTGTTGTAATCCTCTTCTAAGTGTCTTTTTAAACATCACCTCCTCAATCTCTATCCCATTCGTATCTATTTTCATTTCCATCAATTCTGCTGCGACTTGTACTATCTGTGAAAATACATTATTCTCAATCTTTAATATGTCATCCGCATATCTAACTGCTCTTCTTAAAATTCTTCTGAGCACATACCCAACACCTTCATTCGAAAATCCAACACCATAGTAAATACAAACTGCCAATGTTCGGGCATGATCTGACAATACTCTGAAAGCTATATCTGTTGAGGTGTACAAGTCTGTGTATTTATAGTTACACTTTGTTTCAATGAAATGGATGATTTCTTGAAAAGAGTCTATCAAATAGTTCGATTTTACATCCATCAGTATAGATAAAAGTCTCTCAAGACCAATCCCAGTATCTATTTTCTTTTCTATCATCGGAACTAATCCCTTGGGTGTTCGTTCATACTCCATAAATACTATATTCCATATCTCAAGAACATTGGGGTCATCATGGTTTACTAACTTACTAGCATCTCTATTTCCAATTCTATCATAATGGATTTCAGTGCATGGACCACATGGACCATATTCTCCCATTTCCCAGAAGTTGTCCTTAGCATCTGCCTCAATAATTCTCTCAGCGGATATGTATTTCATCCAGATGGAGCGACTGTCTGAATCCAATTTATCATATACTGTAACATATAAGTTCTCCTTATTGAGCTTTAACTCATCAATTAGAAATTCATAGGCATACTTGATAGCCTCTTCCTTGAAATAATCTCCAAATGACCAATTTCCCAGCATCTCAAAACATGTGTGGTGATAGTTGTCTAGTTCTCCTTATTGAGCTTTAACTCATCAATTAGAAATTCATAGGCATACTTGATAGCCTCTTCCTTGAAATAATCTCCAAATGACCAATTTCCCAGCATCTCAAAACATGTGTGGTGATAGTTGTCCTTGCCAACATCTTCTAGATCATTATGCTTTCCACCCGCTCTGATACAATATTGGCTTGTATTGACCCTTGTGTGTCTTGGCTTTTCTCCTAGAAAAATATTCTTGAACTGAACCATTCCACTATTCGTAAATAGTAATGATGGATCATTGTCTGGTATCACTGAGGATGATGGTAGTGTAATATGGTTCCTGTTTTCAAAAAACTCATGGAATTTCTCTTTTAACTTCTTAGTTGTCCACATGGGGTTAAAATATTCTGCTGATTTATACAAGAAAGTCTGGATTAAAGTTTTTATTCTGGAAATTAATTAAATATATTAATTTTATACAATATGGATGATAACTTGCTATATATGGTATAAAATGAGTCACACATAGCAATAATGTCTTGATTAAGAGGCCTGCAGACATTAATAAGACAAATAGTTAATTACTACAACAATACTCAAAAATATCTTCATTATAATTTAAATATCCATTGGTTTAAGAAATATATTCTATTTATTCATACACATCTATAACCAATCTCTTCATTTCAATATTAAATAGTTTCAAGTAACTTATAAATATTTTATAATATCAACACATACTCCATTGTCTTTAAGTTTACTCAAGACTTCTATAGTATTTCTGTCCATTGATTCAAAATCTTCATAAGAAATTCTAAATTTCTTCAAATTAGAAAGTTTTAAAATCGATTTAACTATCAGACTCCAATCTATCTTACTAAATCTTGTATGCCTCATGTCCAAATCCCCTAGACATTCTAGTGATTCAAGTGCCATTGTAAATTGCTCAACTGTATCTGATTTTGTTCCACTTGGTTCATCTGAGTTTCCTAGTTCATTATTCGACAGATTTAATGTTTCAATCAACTTATTGTTTTTAATAATTTCTGTTACTATTGGTAAATCATTCAAACACAACCCATTGCTTTGCAAATCTATACTAGTCAATTTCTTTAGACTTTTTATTCCATCTAGAATATGGGTAATACTTGGTCTATAGCAGCTTCTGGCATTCAGTACTTTTAACTCTGTCATATTTGTTAAAACTTTACCGATTGTTTGAACACTTTCATTAAATTCACATTTCGAAATATCAAGTGACTCTATTTTCAAATTGCTGGCTATATCGGTTATATTTTCATTACTCGTCTTGAAACTATTGGCTGTAGGTTCACTATCTCTTGATAGGACAAAATAACATCCTCCAATGTTCACATCAATTATGTTTTTATGCTTATGTACCACATTAAAGAACTCTGTAATCTTCACCTTCTCCATATTATTTCCTTCTAAATTTATACTTTTTAAGTTTGGAAACCATTTCAGCATATTTTCTATTTCTTTTACCGACTTATAAGATAAGTTATTGCCACCCAAACTTAGAAATTCTATTTTTCCCCAAGGCATAAAAGTACTGTCATCTCCTGCTTCTTCTGACTTCCGTTGATCTTTCCCAAATATAGACTGCATATGATCTTGATTTAAGCCATTTTCACCCAAATAGAGTGTCTTTAACTCCGGCATCTTTGATAATAATTCTGAAAAAACTGATGCTGCTTCATCTTCATCCAGCTTATTTGAGGAATAGTCTAAGCTTTCAATATTTAGTTCTTCAATTATTGAATCTGCAAATGTTTTGGTTCCCTCTGATCCAAGCTCACTCCATTTAATATTTAATTTTTTCAATGATTTCATTTCCTCTATAGATTTGAATAATTGTGAATAATGAGATGAGTTGTTAGAGTTTACTATAATATTATTGTAACTAATATCAAGATGCTGACAATTTTTCAATGCTTGAGTAAATATTTTTATCTTGCTATTAGATGTTAGAGAAAAGTTTAATCTAAGATGTTTCAAGGTTTGAATACTCTTCAACGATTCTACAATAAGATTCAGGAGTTCTTCAGGTATTTCTAGATTTAGATCTATCTTCAAATGGTTTAACTTTCTAACATTCTCAAGCAATTTCACTACAAATGATACTTCTTCCTTAGCAGTTGAAAAAATTATTGAAATCTTCAATACTTCTAATGTATCATATGGCATATATTCTAGTATTTCTCCAAGTATATTTTTATATTCATATAACTTTGTTAGATCGATTGAATCAAGTTTAGATATCTCTTCCCTCCAATACTTTTTCAAAGCATTAGAGTTTGTTTTACATGCTTCTATAAATACATCAAGTTCATTATATTCTATATATGGTGTGTTATTGGGTAAAAATGGTGAGAACATTATTTGTGTTTCTGGATCTGTTAACTCTACTGTATCTAGTATTTGTTTTGTAATTTCCTTTGAGTATTCTCCAAATTCTTTATCATCCTTCTGTTCAAACAAGTATGTCAGTACTTCTATTTTATCTTCATTATTGTTGATCATTCTAATATAAACATTTGTAAAGAAATCATTGGGTATGGTAAAGTTGAATTTCTTTTCACTGGGCATTAAATACTTCATTATTCTATTATACATATTTATGAAAGGATTATTGGATATGGTAGGGTTGGATTTCTTTTCACAGAGCATCAAATACTTCATAATCAGTGAAATAGGAAATGGTGGTGCATCCTTATATCCACTCAAAGTAAGTTTTTTAACAAATCGTGATAATTTATTCTCTTGAATTTTGTCTGAGATAAAATGCATTGCAGAATGTCCACTAGTGATTCTTAATTCCATTTTGATTTCACTTGAGTTAAGTGTATCTTCAAAAATAAACATTATATTCCCACTGAAATCTGGTATATCATTCCATATAAACTCTTCAATTGATTTGAATTCACATTCAACTTTATAATTGAGATTGGGATGCTTTAACTTATTAATCAATTCCTTAAACTTTTCTTCTATATTTTCCTTACTAATATTAATATCCTTCCAAAATTCTTCTATATTTATTGAAGGTACTGCAGCTACTATGATTGCATTCATCAAATTTATCATTCCTGGTTTCACTTCATTTCTCTCTGCTTTTCCATATATAATTTCATTTATTGGATATTTACTTTTGTTGTTAAATGTCAAATATTTCAGATCTTGTACTACTCTAGACCATTCTTTTCTGATGTCATTTGTGATTGTAAATTGTTTATATTCAACGTTTTTGTAGAATTGTATCAATGGTGAATCTTCACTTAAATTTAGATGTTTTAATGAATAGCATTTTCTTTCTATATCCCAGAACAAGCAGTTACAAACATGAAGAAGTGCCATTTCAACACAATCTGAGAATGTTTTAGTTTCATCAAATTTATCACTAATTCTTATGTATATTGGAACTGAAGCATTTGAAACTGGTTTATTCACTATGGAATATGGAAA